GTATTTAACTCGAATTTTGCTACAATAGGCTCCGTTCTTAACTATGGGTCATCTGTAACCCGGACATTCTTAACTCAGGGACATATTAACCCATATTCACACTTTCAGGAGAAAAAATGCAAACAAGGCCTTGGGTTCCTAGTGCCTACAATTCATCAAGGGCAAAATGTAAACTGTCATTTGCTTTGTTGTTATCCAATTATGCAGCCCCGAAGTTCAGTTTGTGCCTTTGTTTACTGTGGCATTATTGAAGTGATAGGCTAACCATAGAAAGCTGTGCCACCATAGCTGTCTGTGTGGGGAGGGGGGTCAAAAAAGTCAAGATGGCGGCTGGAACCATAGGGTGGAAACCTGATCTTTTTTTACATTTTGCACATGAAAAAGGGTCAGAGTTGTAGCCATCATCATGCCTCTGTCATGTATCCAAATTTATGCCTCTACCACACTCCCCAGAAATCAAATGCACCCCAATAATGCCTATTTTTTAAGTTTTATTAAAACATTTCAAAAAAGAAAGAAAAAGAAACTCATAATAAATAACTAGAGAAAGAGAAGAGAAGAGAAGAGAAGAGAAGAGAAGAGAAGAGAAGAGAAGAGAAGAGAAGAGAAGAGAAGAGAAGAGAAGAGAAGAGAAGTGAAGTAGTGGATAAAAGGACAAGATATCAGTAAATAAATGGGGTTTACAATTGTCATGAAATTTAAAGTTCAGTATTTCATTAATTATTTGACTGATTGATTGCGTAGAACTAAGTACATTTTGTTAAAAAAAACAACAACCTAGAAATCTCCATAAAACTCTGAACAAGCTTTATTTATCTTTTTGCTCCCCAAGGATAAATGCATGTAATCGTATAAAAAAGAGAAAGAAATAAAAAAAAAATCAATAAAAATCATTATTTTTAAAGCTGTAAATTCAAATGATGTTCAACATTATTTAAGTTAATTTAAATTTAACATAAATAATAAAATATTTTTTTAAAACTATTTACATGAAATAATATTTGAAGATAACTGCTTCAAAAGAAGAAACAGAAGTGTAATAATCAGCCATCCAGACCTTTTAGCAGTATCAGGACTGTGTCCATCCTTTCCCGTGCAGAGGAAAAGGAGAGATTTCAGACTCAGCTCCTGCTGAGGACATGGACACACGTCTGTCGTTTTCTTGGAAGCAATACAGCAGGATCTGCCATTGTTTTCTTCCAAAGAAATTTTCTGACTCCTCAGTTTAGTTTACAGCCCTAGTGGTCTTCCTGGTGGTCTCCCATCCAAGTACCGGCCTCATTAAAAATCCCTCCTCCAGCTCCACCCCCTTCATCTCAGGAGAGAAGCTTCTACTATTCCCAATCTATTTTTCAGGGTATACATTTTAAACGAACTTTAAGACACGTGGACTTCAAATCCCAGAATTCCCCAACCAGGAAGCAAGCTGGGGAGTTCTGGGAGTTGAAGTCCACACATCTTAAAGCTGCTGAGATTGAGAAATTCTGTCTCAAGCGGTTGGGACTTTAAAGGGCATGTGATGCCTCACAGATCACTTCCTTTCATATTAATCTGACTCCTTTGCTTCTAATTTTGGATTCAGAATTTCATGTTCCTGTTTTCCAGATCTAGATTTATCTGGACAAGCCTCGGTCCAAAAAGGCTGCAATGAATCAGAGCACCGATATTATCTGTGATGTTTCAATGGACACAATTACTTTATCTATTTATCTCACACTTTCAGGACAACTAGGAAGATTTAAAAGGGTAAAATTTTTACATATACATATGAAATTGCTGCATGAGATACACCTTTTGCTTCTTCTCCACAGGTAAAAATGCATTTTTCGGGAAGGTCACAATATTCATAATTATACTTTTCAGACACTGCCCGCCCATTCCCCTCTTTTTATCAAATGAAGGCAATTTGCATACACTGAAAAGGTATTGTAATTACAACCACTATACACAGGGGCATCAGGGGAGGGGCGTGGGTCAAAAAATGCAAGGTGGCTGGTGCAACCATGTGATCAAAGCTTTGCCCTCATGCTAATAAGGGGTGGAGCTCCCATCATGCAGTCATGTCCGCCATCTTGACTTCTTTCCTCTCCCACCTCCCCGCCATGTGGAAAAGCCTGACTATATACACACACATCAGGCTATAGTCCTACGCACACTGGGCCATTTGCACAAATATCCATAGATACACCTTTGAGTAGTTATGTATAGCATTCCTCTGCAAATTTAGCATTTTCAACTAAAAAGAAAACAAACTTTTAGGAGACGTGTTTGAATAAAACCCAACTCTGATGCTCAGCAGAAGTTGGAAAAGAAGCTTTCTGGGCTGGGGTGAAAATTATACCATTTAAAGGGCGGAAGGAATGACCTTGAGGTACAGGAGGAAGAGCCTCAGCCAAAACAACGGTCAGATAAAAGAAATTTGAGTCTGGGACAGAAATGTAATTTGAGAAAGCGTCTCAGACTTGACCCTCTCTAGTTCTGTTGAAGATCTCTTGAAGATAAAGGGAGGGAGAGAGAAGCACATTCAGACTTGCAAGGTTTTATTACTATAACCTCATAATAAAAGTAATTTTAATGTTCAAAAACTTCAGTTTCCTAGTCTGGTCTCCCAGGACTGACATATCAAGAGAAGGACTGGGCTGAGTGGAGACACAGCTCCAAAAAGGAGAACTATGGACATTTTGCCCAAATCTGAAATGGGTGATGGGATTGGGGAATTCTAAATTTTTCACTTAATGGTCTAACACATATTAGCCCGTTCCCATCCATATGAGTTTGAATTCCTGTTCTATTAATGGGAAGACACTCAGCTGCCCCAAAGTCCTCCCTTGAGGACACCATGGTACTTTTCTTACCTCACCCGTCTTTCTCAGTCTGATCCTGGTGAACGGCTCCTTTCCCCCTCATCTCCAACTGGGGAAAACTGGGTCAGCCGCTTTAGTAGCATACCCAAATCTCCTTGGTCTCCTGTATGGGGCAGGGAAGCATCTCAACCTGCCTTCAGTTCTTTTCAGGACAACTGCCTGGTTTCTATCCAAAGAGCTAACCCTCCAAGATACAGAAAATTCACCTTACTTCAAATCGGATGGCTCCATTCCGGTCCATGTCAAAGGCGTTGAACAGGAAGTGGGCATACATGGTGGCATCTGCAAAAGAAATGGCGGAAGAAGATGAGATGCCAGCTTGAAGAGTCTCCTTTACTCCCTGCAGGGTCCAATTCCTTCCCCAGGACGCCATGTCAGATATTCCTTATTTATTAATCAATCAATCAATCAATCAATCAATCAATCAATCAATCAATCATATGTATATAGCCACCCATCTCACCCAAAGTGACTCTTCTCTCTTATCATCACGGAAGGGAGAATGGAAGAAAGTTGTTTAGGCTGAGCTTAGGCTGAGCATGGATTTGATACCACGCTTCCCACAGGCTACTGCACCCCACTTTTGGCCTCCAAAATGAGTGGACCAAGGGAATATTTTTGGACCCAAGTACAAGCTAGACTGGGAAATCAAACACCGTCTCAGAAGAAACAGTGGGCAACCCCTTGCTTCTGTTGTCAAGAAAACTATACAGACGGGTCCATAAAGTCAGAGAAAGCCAAGCTTGTCTCAAGGATGACTTTATTAAAATTAGTTTCTTAAGCCTGGTACCCCCTGGATGATCCCATCATCCTCAGCCAACACGCCCAATAGTCATGCAGGCTGGGCACTCATGGAGAATGCAAATCAGACTTCAGACTTCATTTATTCGAACTATAAATAAATAAAATAAGAGTCAGACTTCAGCTCATCTGGGAAAGCCTAATCTTAAATTATTTTCAACTCATCCCAGGGGGCCATGGGAAATGTTAATATTATGCAAATTTAAACGCTCAGGCTTTGCAGCAGGATAAGTAAAAGGAAGGAATAGTTGATCGTCTGAGTACTTTTTTTATGCCGCTGAACAGTATTGTAGCTTTTTCAAAGCATTTGCCCCAATATTTCCTTTTCCCAGGCACAGCTGCTGGCTGTGAATTCCTGTGTGGTTCTTAAGCGAAGTCCAAGAAAACCCCATCGAAGGAGCTTCTTCTTTTCTCTAAGCCAGTGTTGTCCAAACTTGGCCACTTTAAGATGAGTGGACTTCAACTTCCAGAATTCCCCAGCCAGCATGGCTGGCTGGGGAATTCTGGGAGTTGAAGTCCACTCATCTTAAAGTGGCCAAGTTTGGACAACACTGCTCTAAGTGTAACCCTTAGGCCCAGATGCTGATCTGTTTGGGCTAAGGCTGATCACGTATTATGAATCAAACAAGTCACGCAATGTATGCACATCTGGAATGTATGACAAAGGCTTGTCCTATCCTGCAGGACTGTAGATGCCCAGGAGGCGCCAGTCAAGTCAGTTCATACTGGAATGTGCAGATATCCAGTTCTTGTGGTGTTTGTGGATATATTTAGAAAACGGCCATCCTGCTCAATTCCTGACTAAGCTAAAGTGCCTACAAGAAAACGTAAGAAACATACAGTTTGTGGGTTTCTCAAAGGCAACTGGAAGGACTAGTGTGGGAATTGTATGCCAGACCAGAAAACCCTTTATTCTGATTCAACTTGACATTCCCTTCTAATCTGTCAAGGCCCAGCCAGGCCCGGTGGGAATTCTGGCAATAGTAGTTGAGCACACTTCGAGGGCTTCTGATCAAGGCTGCTGCAACCCTGAAGGGGCTATTAGGAATTCCTGCTTCTGAATTAAATGCCACCCCCTGAAGAAGCTGAGAAATCACTTGGTCCATAAAAGCTGTCGAGATGCATGGCAGACTCACCTCCCTGGGGGAAGAATTGGGCATAGATGAGCTTGAAGGTCTCTTCATCCACCAGGCCACTGGGACATTCCTAAAGGCAAACCACACAGAAGTTACACCTGAAAGGAACAAACTCCCACATTGACTTGGCATTCGGAGGCCAACTCAAGTTTTTCTTCTGCTTCTCCCTTTCTTTCTTGACTGAAGACCACCTCATCTCCTTCCCAAGGCTTCCCTTGCTCCAAAGAGTTGATCTACTGTGGTTTTAAGGTAGAAGTGGGCAGTTTGGGGGCTATTCTGGCCCTCTTTCTTACAGCCCCAAAGGTCACCCAAGTCATGCCCCCAATATTCATTAGCAAATCCAGTTATAATGTTGGGATGATTCTCCTCCAGGTTTCATCTGGAAAGATAATAAAAGAGGTGTGCTAAGGCTTCAATACGCTTAAAGTGAAGTCACCTTTGAGTTGAGCTTGATACCCGGTGACCCCATGTACATTTTCTGGGCAACAATACAAGAATAATTGGCCGTGTTGCTCTTCTTCTGGCTGATCTTCCCAGTCTAATTCACCATTTGGGGCTTTCTGGTGTTCTCCACACCGAGCCCAACCTTGCTCAGTTTCTTTGAAACCACCCAAATAAGGCCCCAAAATTTTCTCCTGCTCCCTTTGATCAGAACACGATAGCATCATCCTAGTCGAGCCTCAGCTATAAAAATGTAAGAATTTTAAAGCTGAAGCCACAGACTTCAAGCCGTTGCCCATCCCTTAGGATCATACATAAATCGAGGTCTGAATTTGTCCCCCACCCCACCTCAATTCAGCAAGTCCAGATTAACTGATGATGACTTAAAGCTGCAGTGCAGAACTCATGACCTCAGGCCCACCTGCCCCACCACCAAGTCTTAGATGAGCTCTTCCTTATGGGGCCACCAGACGGGGACATCTGCAGGGGGAGTCTGAAGAGCCAAACTGGCAGCCGTGACCATGCAATTGAAGCCCTACACCCTTTTTCAAAAACAAAGACTTTTGCCCCCATGCCCCCTACGGCCACCCTTGCTTGCCAGGGGCTCTCCACGCCCTGGATGGAGCTGGAGTGCCGCATCTATTTTTTAGGTAACCCGAGGCTGTCTTTTGACTAAGAAGCAGGGGGATCAAAAGAGAGGTTTTGATCTGGGGGTCACTGGAGCCAAAGGGATGCCTTGGAGGACGGGCAGCGCCAGGCTTTGGCGCGCAGCAGTGCTAACGCAGCTGGAATCCAGAGAGTGTGTCTGAAAGCAAAGGCCGTGGATGTGCCAGCTGGTTCTGGGATATCCTCCAAGGGAAGTCTTGCTGTGGCGGCACCAAGAAGTGACTCAGAAACTACAGATAGGGTAGCATTTATTTCAGCCGCCGTCAAGAGCCAAGCATTACAGGAAAGTGATTAAAGATACATGGCACAGAAGATAGAGGTGGTTTCTTGGAAGGGGGGAAAGTTCTTACCAACTCCCCTGGCTTCTTGAGCAGGACTACTCAACCGCCCAGCTCTGTGCCAGGGGGGCCTTCTGAGAGATGGAGAGGAACCTGGGCCACTTGGGGATTTTTCTGGAACTGCACCGCTTCTGTCTGGGGAGGAAATGCAGCGAATGGTTGGGAGGACAGCTTGATGCAACCCTATGATGAAGTCACACCCCTAGGGCTAAGGCTGGACAACTTTGGGGGCGGGGGGCTGCAGGCCTGGGCAGGGCTGTGTCAGGACTGCAGGATTTGCAGATCATTCCTGGTGTGTACTGGTGTGAGTATACATACACGCATGCGCATGCACACACATACACATGACATAGTATTTTAGGGTTTACACTGGAGCATGTTGGACTCAGTATGGGAGGGACAGCTCTGCCAAGTTCTGACTACTGTGATGGGGGCTGCAAGAAAGAGTTGGGGACAGCATGTTGTCCGTCCCTATACTAATCCATTCTTTGACCACAGTTGTTGAATAAGCTACAACGGGCTAGTTTCATATGAACGATGAACATATGGTTTACAGACCCACAGTGCGTAAACCAAGGCCAAGGGATTACTTAATGTCTGGACAGGTTGAGTGGGGTCAATCGCTGTTAGAAACATGTAACTGAAACAGGTGATTTCAGGATTAGAGCCATAGAGTTGGAAGGAGACTCATCTAGTTGAGCCATTTGCTCAGTGCAGGATCTGCTACAGCATCTCTGACCGTTCAGCCTCTCTTTGAAGACCTCTGGCAAAGGAGAATTCACCTCTTCTTGGGGCAGGCTGTTCCACTGGCTGACTGCTTGTACAGCCAGGAAGTTCCTCCTGAATCTTCTTCCTTGTAGGTTTACCCCTTGGTTCTGCTCCTGCCCTGTGGGGCAGTAGAGAATAAGTCCCCTCCCTCTTCTGTGGGACAACCCTTCAGATATTTCAAGACTACTATCACTTCTCCCTTCAGAAGACCGAGAAGAAACTTTTCCTCAGAAGGCCAAATGTTCAAGTTGAAAGGAGTCGACCGATGAACTGGGGTGGGTCCTCTATTATTGTCCATTTCTGTTAGAACCTGGGACAGTGGAGTGAGGGACATGTGGGTAAAAGAAAGCTGGTAGGGTCCAATGTCATAAAGCTACAGAGATAGAGAAAAACTCCATCAAGAAAGATGGACTGGGGGCCTGAGAATGGCATGCCATTAGAAGAAAAGTGAGGACTTTCCCAGAACTGCGGTTTGCAATACACTCCCCGAACCAGCTGGAGGCCCACAGGTGATACTGCTGGAAGGATGATGGTGTCACAGGAGAGGTGGGCCTGATTTTTGGTGGGCTTTTTTAGTGTCTTTACGGGCTTCTTAGGCAGGGAATGAGAGCTGGAAACTTCTAGGAGGCAAAGTGTTGAAAAACTTGAAAAAACTCTCATCCCTCCCCCAGGAACCAAAATGACGCCATCAACATTTGGTAGCAAAACAATAGAAGTTTGACAGCACAGTTTGGAATAGTTTGGGAGATGGTTCGGGGTAGAAATGGGACTGGGCTGTCTCCCAGAGGCCTCCTTTTTCCATTTCCACCCTTATTTCTGGAGAAGAAAACCAAGAAAAAAAGAAAAAGAAAAACTCTGCCTCTGAATTTCAGCCGTGAGGCACACTCTTAGCAGTCTGGAACCATGCCACCCACAGGCAACTCATCCTGAAACTAGAAGATGGAGGTCCTGAAACTTGGGATCTTCCTCCTCCCAGTAGATCTCTAGGCAAAACTATTAGAACCACAGAGTCAAACTCATGGAGGAATGACATTTAACACAAGGGGACCCAGTATTTCTTCAAGATGTATGGAAAAGGGCACTTAGAGGCCATCTAGAAGGTAGTGCGGTGAGACAAACCCCTTGTGGAGCACCACACTTTCCTAGGGATACAGAAGAGTCAGAAGATGTGCAGAGAAGGGCAAGGAGACAGGCAAGGGATGGGACCAGATCCTGTGAAGAGAGCTGGGCATTTGGCCTTGAGAAAAGATGACCGATGGGGTTCATATAGTACCTGAAGAAGGCAGTGGCCTTCTCAGAGTGCAGAACATGGAATTATAGCCACGTTCTCACAGGAAGGAAGATTCCAACTGGACCTCAGGAGAAACCTCCTGAGAGTAAAAATAGTTTAATAGTGGAATCAGAGAGGTTCTAGAGAGAAACTGGTGGACCAAGAGAGGTGGTGGTCTCCCCGTCACTGCGTATACTGGAGGCTGAAGAGCTCTCTCTCTCTCTCTGAACGCTGGGAAAGAAAGAGACAGTGAAGTGATTATTTGAATTTTGCGGGCCGATTTAAAATTTTGTTTGCTTGGATCTTGTGTCCCTCACCCCGACTCTGCTAGGCATGGGGCAGGCTCTAAAGATTGTGAAATAAATAAAGAATAAACATCACAGCTCCTGTGTGTTGAGTACAGGAGTACACGTATTTTAAATGCATAAATGAAAAACGTAAAAATAAACAAAGGAGAGAAAAGGAGAAGCAGGTGGACAAGAAAAACTCACGTTCTTGAAACCTCTATAGAGGGACTGCAGCTCCTTTTTGGTGAATTTGGTTAGAAGTTGGAGCTGGTCTAGTCCTTCGGGTTGATGCCGGATAGTTGAGAGCTCCAACTCACTGTCGCTGCTGTCTGTAAAAAGAAGGCAAGCTTGCTTTTAAAGGTCCCCCCTGTAGAAATGCCCATTTGCAGGATAATTGGTTTAATGACCCGGCCAATCGACAATATATTAGGAAAGCATTTGACTGCAGTTTAGTACTTGTCCATCCTTGGCATTCGTTGGCAAGACTGTGTCTCCAACCTGGAGGTCTTGGATGGCGGAGAGTCCACCAGCATTGAGTCCCTGATGATCAGAGCCCAGATGTGGTGGGTGGGACACGTCATCAGAATGGATGACCACCATACGCCTCACCAGTTGCTCTATAGCAGTGTTTCTCAACCTTGGCCACTTTAAGATGTATGGACTTCAACTCCCAGAATTTCCCCCCCAGCCAATAGCGGTGGGGGGGTTTGAGGGTGTGGTGGGGAACACATTAATAAAAAGAAAAGAGTTTGTGAAACAAA